CGGGTGTGGTAGCACGCGCCTGTAGTTCCGGCTACTTGGAAGGCTGAGGCAGAAGGATCGTCGGAGCCCAGCAGGTCGAGTCTGGGCGACAGAGTGAGACTCCAACTCAAAAATAAATAAATGAATGAATGAATAAATAAATAAGTGAATAAGTGCTCACTCTGGCCCTAAACCAGTGAAATGAAGCTTAGCCATGCAGGGCCAGGTAAAGAATCTCTGTGAGAGACAGACTGGGAGGGGGTGGGATTCAAAGGAAGTAGCAGGAGATAATGACGGGACCATAGTCATGCAGGGGGAGGGACAGGAATAGAAGGAACCACAGTTGCTCACGTCTGGCATCTGGGCCAGGTGTCTCTTTCTCCCCATCTTTCTGACAGCCTATCTGCCCCCACAGGATGCAGCCTACCACTGCACTGCTGCCCTGTTTTACCTCAGTGCCTCAGTCCTGGAAGCCCTGGCCACCATCACGCTACAAGACGGCTTCATCTACAAGCACTACCACGAAAACATCGCTGCCGTGGTGAGTCCTAGCACCTGCATCTACCATGTTCACAGCGGGCAGCTCCGCCGCTGGCAGAGGGTTCAAGCAGGAGGCTACCCAGGTCCCCCCTTTCTTCAGTTCTCTATCTTTCGAGTGACGCCAAACCTTCACCTCATTTCTGAAGCAATAAAGTCCCCAAGAGGGAAGTGGCATGCCCAAGACTCTGCTTAGTCATCCTGTCAGGACTGTATGGCCTCAGGCCCGGATGGGCTTTGCAGAGGGCAAAGTGTGTGAGGAGATGATGGTCACGGAGTGCCCTGCACTGTCTCAGCACTCCGTGAACACTTATTTAACCCTCACAACAACCTTGTGACAGAGGTTTATTATAGCCATTTCACAGATGGAGAAGCAGAACACTGAATGTGAACAACTGGCCCAGGATCACCAGTCATTGGTGGGGCCAGGTGTGGAGGCCAGGGGCTCTGTCCCCCACATTCTTGGTACCAGTTAGGAGCTGTGAGTCTGACCACTTGGGTCTCCTGACTCTCCCCGATTGGTCTTGCATTGAAGCATCCAGTCAAGAGCAGGGTGGGAGGTACTGAGGCCAGGGATGGATCAGAATGACAGGGAGTAAGGAAATGTATTGTTTCACGAACATCTCTTCAAGGTTGTGCATGTGTACCCTTGCACCAGTACAATAACTCACAATACAAAAGTGCTTTCAATCATGGACATTATTTTAAAAATGAGAAAAGGGCCAGGTGTGAAGACTCACGCATATAATCCCGACACTTTAGGAGGCTGAGACAGGAGGATCACTTAAGCCCAGAAGTCGAGACCAGCTGGGCAATATAAGGAAACCTCATCTCTACAAAAAATTAAAAAATGGACTGGGCGTGGTGGTGCATGGCTATCGTTCCAGCTACTCAGGAGTCTGAGATGGAAGGATTGCCTAAGCCTAGGAGGCGGCAGCTGCAGTGAGCTGTGACTGTGCCACTGTACTCCAGCCTGGGTGACAGAGTAAGACCTTGACTCAAAATAAAAAAAGCTTTCAGAAATAGCATTCCTCAGATTCCTAGAAATTGTCCTATGAATTATGTGATAGATCATAGGATGCCAGCTCCAGTGGGTCACAGTTAGGTTAACCCGTTTTTTTAGAAAGGGTAGGGCAGAGGCCTACAGAAGACCCACGGGGATGGGCATAGTTGGGTATGGAGAAGGCGTTTGATGAGGTTGCCTCTTTCTGCTTCCATAGGGGAGTCCTGGGGAAGAGCTCCTCAAAGCCTCACCTGCTGGTCCCTGTGGACCAGTCCCCTGCCCCAGAGAAGCCACCTGCTACCCTTAAGCACTCAACAAGCAACCACTTCCCTAAACCCAGCCCTCTCAGGATCCCTGGCACCCCCTAAGGGTCCCACGGTGTGGGGACATCTCCCATTCTGTCTCATCTCCCAACGAAGCTGGTTTTGAAACAGTAGCACAGCCAGGTAACATATTGGTTGCTCTTCCTTCCATGGGAGGCTGGTAATTCACCTCCTTGGTCATACTTCAAATGATTCTGCTTCATCTCTCTCTCTCCTAGGAGTGCCACATACCTCCTCAATCCCAACCCAGGAGCCTTCTCTCTCAACAAGCATCAGCAAAGCATCTGACAACAATTTCCGTAAAATTGTTGTGAAAGATGTTAGCAAAATATAGATGGGATGTCATTAGTGGGACAGCAATTGATGGAAAAACCCACATGGGGTGAATGAATGCCCTGCCTGCTAGACACGTCTCTAGTTGAGAACCACTGGGCTCTCCTGCATTTTGATTTTCATCTGTTACCTTTTACCGAAATGCAGCATAGAGCCAGAAAAGTGGACAAGTTACACGTGGGCATCTTGATAAATTTTCATAAAGTAAATACCCCTATGGCTAAGAAATAAGACATGATAAACAGCTCCTAGAAATCCCCCTCTTGTCCTTTTCCTGTCACTGTGTATCCCCACCACTGCTCAGTTTCTGATTTCTGGCACCCAGTGCCTTTGTACTTCATGTAAATGGAATTACACAGTAGGCATTCTTTTATGTCTGACTTCTTCCTCTCAACCTTTTGCTTGTGAGATTATCCATGTGGCTGGCTACAGATGGAGACTGTTTATTCTCACTGCAATCTAGTATTCCGTTATAGAAATACCAACCACTGTTTCTCCATCCCTGGATTGATTACGTTCCCACATTTTTGGGATAGATAGGCATGAACATGCCCAGGCAAAGTCAGGAGTGTGTGAATCTAGAACCAGAATGTTCTCAGCAGGCAAATGAGCTAGGCCAGAACAACCAGGTGAAATATGAACCACGTTCAATGTAAAGTTATGCCTTTCCATTAAAATTATTAATTGCATCAGTATGTGGGGAAGAAGGAATCATCATGACTCTGGATTTAACCACAGCTACAACATGCTCTTCAGATGGTCTTGGGAGTGGCCAGTCCAGGGGATATAGGAGTACAAGGAGGCACCTCAAAACCTCTCTCACACACCCTGACCTTTGGAACAGCCAGCCTGGCTTATGTCCCTCTCAGTGGTTTCTCATTAGGACCTGTCTTAAAAGCTGAGCTTCCCCGCTCCCTCCTTTCCTGGTGGCAGAGCTTCCTTGCCAAAGGGATCCCCGGGATGGATAGAAGTTGACTAAGGCAAGATGGAGATTTCTGGAGTAATCTAGAAGTTTCTGGATTTTAACTATAGTGGGCAGTAATGGCAGCCATTTAGGTAGAATGGTTTCTGAAGCCCAAAATATGTCCATTCATGTTCCCAGCTCTAAATGTCCCCTGTGTGCATTTCTTGACCACACTTGGAAAATGAGTCTCTACTCCCTGTTCCTACTGGGGACTTCCAGGATGCTTCTGCCAAAGATTCTCATTAGGTCAGGAATTCCCACCTGAGGGGGAGAGGTGCTTTTGGGGGGGCTCCTCACTCATGTATGACTGTGCCTTTCAGACAGGTAGCTTCCGGATGTGTTCTCTTAAATGTGTTATTCAATAACTCAGCTTACTCGTTGCCTCTGGTCAACAATGGTAAAGAGTTCGCCCATGCATGGGGGCAGGGAGAGCAGGCACGGTGACGGCTGGTGTTTATGGGCATTTTCAAGAGTCACAGAAGCGTAGCCACCCTAAAGGCTGTGCCTGGGCTGGAAACTCTTGACCTCCACGCAAGGTCACAAAACCAGGTGCAGATATTGAACTGGGGTGCAGGCAAGCATTTAGAAAGGACAGCCATCTGGAGTAGAGTGATGAAGGCAGATGGTGCCCAGATGAACACAGCAAGACCCAAGTGACGGTCTGCCACATTTCCGGGGCCTTTGTTCCCAGTGCCAGCATGGCTCATGGAATCATCCCAACAGCTTTCCCAGTAAGCCCCCTCCTTTTGACAAAAGCTCAAAATCCCTTCACCCCTTCCCTGTCCCTCGCTTCCTATGAAGCCTGACTCCCACAGTCACGCCTTTGTTATTAAGAATCCTAGTGGACGGTAACTCACACCTGTAAACCCAGCACCTTGGGAGGCTAAAGCAAGAGAACTGATTGAGCCCAGGAGTTCGAGACCAGCCTGATCAACATAGCAAGACCTCATCTCTACAAAAACAAAAACCAAAAAAATTAGCTGGACGTGGTGACGCGCACCTGTAGTCCCAGCTACTTAGGAGCCTGAGGTAGAAACATCACCTGAACCCAGGAGGTCAAGGTTGTGGTGAGCCATGATCATGCCTCACCACATTGTACTCTAGCCTGGGTGACAGAGTGACACTCTGACTCAAAAAAAAGAATCCCCAAATAAAATCCTGATAAGGGTCTGAGGGTGTCCACGTAGCACAGAAACCTTAATAAGAGTCAGCAAACGCAGATATTCACAATCTCTTAGCTGAGCCGCCGGGACCACAACTGGTGGGCACTGGCGTGAGGGAAGGAAGTTTTCCATGGAAAGTATTTGATACTGACCTGGGATGCTTCAGTAGATGGGCCTTTGAGGGCCCCATGTCGAGTGAACTGACACCAACATGACATTGTGTGATGGCAGAGAGTGTTGCCTTGCATGTCAAGTCCCGGAGATCATCAGGAGCTCTAGAATGAAAGGGCTTGGAGCACACACCTGGGCTCAGCAAGAAAGGCGGAGAGACAGGCAGCAATGGCAGCCCACACACTAAAGGCATGTCACCCCTCTCGTGTCCTGTGAACGCTGGACCCAGTTGGATGGCCGTGCCTCGTCCCCTCCCTGTGGACACTCATTAATGATCATTTCTCTTGGTTCCAGGTATTTTCCTACGTAGCCACTCTGCTCTACGTGGTCCACGCTGTGTTTTCTTTAATCAGATGGAAATCTTCGTAAAGCAATAGAACTACTGCTGAAAACCCAGATGGTGTTAACTGATTAGCCCACCTTCCGGCATAAGTTTTTAGAATGCAGAAATGCTGTCAGTGATGGAAAAAAGAAAACAAACCAGAAAAAGAAAAAAACCCACAAAATCCACGCTCTGTCCCTTGCGGGTGTCGTGTTTACTCTCCCATGTTCCTTCATGTCCCAGGTTCGGGGCTTGCTATGTTTAACCTCCAACTACTGTGCTGTCTTTCCTGTTTGTAAAAGGGCACCTTCTAGTTTGGGGGTGGGAAGTGGGAACTGTGATCTGAAAAAGAAACAAAGATCCCCTGCTGAGCCCTGAACCGGATCTTGAGAACTGCCTCTTGGAATTTTCTACAGGCTCTTTTGGGCACCCCATCCTGTGGCGTGTTTCTCAGTCTTCATGGATATTCTGCATGTCATGATGAACTCACCTAACAGATATTTTCAGATGTCCATGGTGGAAGATGATAACCCTTTGAAATATCTTATAAAGTATCTTTATGTTCAATACTTTTGTAGGGTGTTTTTTGGGTTCTGTTTTGAATTTCTCAGGATCAGGAAGACCATCATTTCAGCTTTCTATCTGAGGAATCTTTGGACTTAACCTGAGTCTCAAGAAGCAGCATCAGGTGGCAGCTCAGACGATGCTGTGTACTCCCAGCCGCTGCAGGCTCAGAGCTCGGTGCCAGGGACCCCACCCTCCCAGCAACATCAGCCCAGATGGCTTCCTTTCTCTGGAAACTGACCAAGTGCCATCCTGGGGGCCACCTCCTCTTACCTACAAGGCACAGTGGCCTGTGCCCAGTTAGAACTTCCTTAAGCCAAAAGCAAAGTACAGAATCTCTTCTCACTCTTTGTAACATTGATCAGCACTGGGCAGTGTGCTCTGTTTCAGTTAGTGATGTAGATACTAAGTTGTTTGTAGAACTTCCTTGGGCCACCCCATCAGAGAGAAAGGGGACCAGGTTACAGAGTAAAAGAAGTACAATGACAAGGGGTGAATGCTATGTTTGGGGTATGAGATGCCTGAGTTAAAAGGAGACAGGATGATTCAAAGAAGGGGACTCAGCTGGGAGTCTGGCAAACCCAGCTTCCCTGTTAAAAAATGCTCTTTTATGCCATGGCTCAAAGAAGTTAATGACATTCCAGAGCTGGGACACAGCAACAGGTGCCTCTCAGACCTGCCAGTTCCCAGCCACGGAGGTATGTGGGTAGACAACGCACAACCTCCGGCTAGCAGCCATGGAGAACAAAGATTCAGGCCTCAAATGAAGGGTTGAATCAGTTGGCATTTTACTCCCTTTCCAACGTGGAGATCCTGCGACTACAGTAGATAGTAGTGGTATGTTCAAGAGGTCCTTTATTATTCCAGGGTACTCGGTACCAGAAACCAATCACTTTTAGTGGGTCCACTTAAAATAGCCAAGATTTCACAGTAAATCATGAGCAAAAAGGTCTGATTGGGGCTTTATCTTAACAAATTAAACTACAAATAAAGAAATAATAGGAAGTTTGCTACATGTTTGACAACATTTGCAATCAAGTGTCCGTTGAGGAAAGTCTCATTTTTTTTTTTTCCAACAAAACCGTCCAATTGCATTACAGGAAGCCAACAACACGATAGCAACCAGGCTCATTTTTTTTTTTTTTTTTTTTTTACTTCCATCAGAAATCCTTAGTTTCCCAAGGATTTCTCAATGTTTTGAAATTTTAATCAGTTCCTTTAAATAAATTTTCATATAGTCTTTCTCTATTTCCTCTTATTCAGTTGCAAACTGGTTTAACTATAAATCCTTTGAGTCGGAAGCTTTGCAGATGATTCCCTGGCTCCACTTTCTTGTTCCTTCTTTCCCTAAGCATTTTTAGTTTTTTGGGGTTTTTTTTTTTTCTTTTTTGAGCTGAGTTTCCCTCTGTAGCCCAGGCTGGAGTGCAGTGGCACTATCACAGCTCACTGCAGCCTTGACCTCCGGGGCTCAGGTGATCCTTCCACTTCAGCCTCCTGAGTAGCCGGGACCACAGGCACGCACCATCACACCCAGTTAATTTTTTTTTATTTGTTGTAGAAGTGAGGTCTTGCTATGTTGCCCAAGCTGGTCTTGAACTCCTGGGTTCAAGCAATCCTCCCACCTCAGCCTCCTAAAGTTCTGAGTTAATAGGTGTGAACCATCACACCTGGCCCCCTAGGCATTTTTAAAACCTGCAATTTCATTTTGTATTTGACTTGCATCTTCTTCGCATGGGATGTGAAAGGGATGAGTGAGACTTCACACCAGTCTTAGAATATGCCCTCTTCTGGTTTGCCCTGCCTACCCCACTTCCTGATCTACTCATTTCCTTACTCCTGCATCATCTCAGTGCTCAGTTCTGTAACTAGCTATCTCATGCTCATGGGTACAAGTGCACGGTGAATGGGCAGCTGTGCAGCTAAGGATGCTGTTCCTCTGGGAACCCATGATGTCTGGGAACCCACGATGCCTGGGGAGAAGGGGGTTGGGAATGACAACATTGAAGATGCCAGCTGGGCAACAGCCAAAAGTTTACTCAGAACACAGAGGTTAGCTGCACCTGCTGGGTGCTGGGACCATTGGCTCCTCAAGGATTGGAATGACATCTGGTCCTCAAAGTTTCTTGGTGCTGGCACACCTCACCTTTCTGCCTCTGGGTCTTGCACAGGAGACGACCTCCTCTGGGACATATCCCGGCGCCACCCCAAAGGCAGTGAGCATTCTTTAAATGCTGCCTGTTTGGTCACCCTAACTTGGATCAAGGGTCAAGCAGCACCAACACCCAAACGTGACTGTCCTAAGGATCCAAATTCACATCTGTGTAGCCTTCTTCCCTGCCATTTTGGGGGCTCCTGTCTTGGGTACTGAATACGCACTGTACATATATGAGGGGGAGATCCCCAAAAAACAGAAGTATATTTTGGAGGGCGGTCCTCTTGTAGTGCCAGCTTCCCCCACTAGGTGAGTGTTCTAGGAACCCATCAACATCAATATACCAGCTAGTATTGTTGTGAGAGGCTGTGTTCATCTTTAGTTAATTTTTTTTTTTTTGGAGAGTCTTTCAACATGTTTGCCCATTTTGTGATGGGTGATTTATGAGTGCACTTGCCCGCACTGCGCTGAGTGTTCAGCAGTTTTTGACCCAAAACAGCGTGATCCTCGTGCACTACCCTCACAATTTGCCTGATCTCTCCCAGAGCAACTTTTTTTGTTTCTCTGGATGAAAAAAAAGTCCTCAGAGGGAAATGCTTTGTTGATGTGGAAAAGGTGAAACCAGAAAAAACGGCAGAAACACTAAAAAGGCATCCAAATCGATGAGTTCAAAAACTGTTTTGAGCAGTGGATAAAGTGTCTCAATAGGTGTATTGCATCAAACGGAGACTTCTTTGAAGGTGACTGAAGTTTAAGCATGTAAGAATAAATACACAATTTTCTATAAGTAACTTCCAGGCATTTTTGGAATACCCCCCCCTCATATATGGCCTCCTGTGGTCCTATATCATTCTACAGGTGCGGAAACTGAGACTCAAGAGTCTGGTGGGACATGGAGCTAGATTTGGGGCCAGCTCCTTCTGTCCCTGAAGGTCTGTGCTTGATTAGTACCCTAGGGCTCCCAGACATGTCCCCATGAGGGTTTGTTCTCAGCTTGGGAAGTAGCAGTAAGATTTCGTGGTGGATATGATGCTGGTGGGCAGGGGCCTTCAGTGGGAGTGAAGCCAGGCATTCAGGACAGCACCAGACCACCAGCGAGGCCTGTACAGGACAAGTCACCAAAGCCAGGTCCTCTATTCCCTCCTGGAGAGGAGCTGACTGCTTGGAGCTGCAGTCACAGTAATGCCAGTTCCAGTAGTAGCTACTAGGTGCTACTTTGCAGTCCCCACGGAGCTAAAGTCCACCCAGTACTTAAAGAAGGTAAAAAACTGGCTTTTTTAAAAAAGTTGTAGTCCCGCTCTTGCTGTTGCCCAGGCTGGAGTGCAGTGGCATGATCACAGCTCACCATACCCTCAACCTTCTGGGATCAAGAGACCCTTCCACCTCCTCCTCCTGAGTAGCTGGGACTACAGGCATGTGCCACCCTGCCTGGTTAATTTTTTCATTTGTAGAGAGATGAGGTTTCTCTATGCTGCCCAGGCTGTTCTGAAACTCCTGGGCTCCAGGGATCCTCCTGCCTCAGTCTCCCAAAGTGCTGGGATCACAGGCATGAGCCACTACACCTGATCTAAAACTGCTTGTTTTTAAGTTCATAGAATAAAGAGCAAAGTCTTTCCAGGAGCCCAAGAAAGGATTATGAAGAAGCTAATGTCTATGATGTGACCAACAGCCAAAGCTTGCAGAACAGGTCAAACCATAGTCGGCCACTTCACTCTTGTCCCCACCAAGGTGTGGACCCAGCAGAAAATGGGACGGCTTCCCTTCTACCTTACACAAGGAGGGTCTGGACTGACCAGGCCTCATGAGTGGCTGCTAAGGCCCCCCGCCTGTCAATTAACCCAGTGGCCTGTGTGCTGCCTGTGGACACACAGGAACGTTCTGCACCCAGCCAGGTGCCAGGAGAGCACAGGGCTAGCGCTCAGTAAACACAGCTGCATGAGTGAGCATGCCCAGCACCCCAGGGCTGCTCTGGATGGCCTGTCTTCATGCATGTCTGTCCTCTGGCCTCTCGGGATATGATAGAGAAATGAAACCTTATGGTGGACACATGCCAGGTGGAAGGGAACTTCAGGGCGGGACTGGGGGAGGTGCAGTGCAGCGAGGCGTTTGGGACAGTGGTTGGGACTACTCCAGTGCAGCTTTGACCAGACTGATTTGGTGAGTCAGTACACTCCTTCCTGCTTTCTCCAGCCCTGAGTAGCTACACGGGGGGCTTACGGTTAATTATGGACATACTGGTGGGGAGGGAGTGTGTCAAGGGAGGGCCAGCAGCGAAAGACAGCTATGGGTCAGATCCAACCAGGACATTTTGGAGTCTCTGACCTGTGACTTCACTGGCTGTGGTTCCCTTGTGGCTTCATGGGGGCTCTGGGAGACCTTCTGGGGACATCTTCCTGGTGGCCTTCCTTGTGCAGGGCAGGGAGGCCTGGGAGATCTCCCCTGAGAGCCAACCTCCTGCCTCACCATTCTGCACACAGTGTGTCCCGTCGGACCTGCCCTTCTGCAGAAAACACAGTTTAAGGAAACTGGGCTTTGTCAACACTCTAGAGCCAAATTCTAAAAAAGTATCTCTTCTCAGCACTCCTGCAGGCTGTAGGACTGTTTTTGCAAAGCAGCCCAAATGGAGAATTTAAGGCCTCCTTACCCTGACCTTAAAGAGGCAGCAAAGGGTCCGTGCTGCCAGCCGTGGGCAGGAGCGAACCGGCCTTCAGGGCCCACACAAGGGCCTCTTGTTCTGGGAATCAATTGGGGCTGGTGTGGGGTCACAATGGGGCCTTTCAACGAGACAAAGCGCCTCTGGCCAGGCTGAGTGTCCCTGCACATGTGGGCATCCGCCCAGAGCATTTAAAATAA